CTGAACCTGAACCTGAACCTGAACCTGAACCTGAACCTGAACCTGAACCTGAACCTGAACCTGAACCTGAACCTGAACCTGAACCCAAACCCAAACCCAAACCCAAACCCAAACCTGAACCTGAACCCAAACCCAAACCCAAACCCAAACCCAAACCCAAACCCAAACCCAAACCCAAACCCAAACCCAAACCCAAACCTAAACCTGAACCCAAACCTGAACCTGAACCTGAACCCAAACCCAAACCTGAACCTGAACCTGAACCTGAACCCAAACCCAAACCCAAACCCAAACCCAAACCCAAACCCAAACCCAAACCCAAACCCAAACCCAAACCCAAACCCAAACCTGAACCTGAACCCAAACCCAAACCCAAACCCAAACCCAAACCCAAAAACCTGAACCTGAACCTGAACCTGAACCTGAACCTGAACCTGAACCTGAACCTGAACCTGAACCTGAACCTGAACCTGAACCTGAACCTGAACCTGAACCTGAACCTGAACCTGAACCTGAACCTGAACCTGAACCTGAACCTGAACCTGAACCTGAACCTGAACCCAAACCTGAACCTGAACCTGAACCCAAACCCAAACCCAAACCTGAACCCAAACCCAAACCTGAACCTGAACCTGAACCCAAACCTGAACCTGAACCTGAACCTGAACCTGAACCCAAACCCAAACCCAAACCCAAACCTGAACCTGAACCCAAACCCAAACCTGAACCCAAACCCAAACCTGAACCCAAACCCAAACCCAAACCCAAACCCAAACCCAAACCCAAACCCAAACCCAAACCCAAACCCAAACCCAAACCCAAACCCAAACCCAAACCCAAACCCAAACCCAAACCCAAACCCAAACCCAAACCCAAACCCAAACCTAAACCTAAACCTAAACCTAAACCTAAACCTAAACCTAAACCTAAACCTAAACCTAAACCTAAACCTAAACCTAAACCTAAACCTAAACCTAAACCTAAACCTAAACCTAAACCTAAACCTAAACCTAAACCTAAACCTAAACCTAAACCTAAACCTAAACCTAAACCGCAGGTTTTCCTTGGCGCGGAAAAAATTAGAATATATTTGACAAGGACCAAATTATAGCGCCTTGTTAATTTGCCGCAGCGACATCTAGTTAGTTATATTATCACTACAGAGAAGTGTAGAGTGAGCTTTACACGAAGAAAAAAAAAAAAAAAAAAAAAAAAAAAAAAAAGCGTGACGGAATTCCGTGCCGTGCAACGATACCTTGTTTAACTAGGCAATAGCGAGCCGGCCTAAGGGCCAGCTAAGGCTGGTATTGCTACAGCCTGGTGGAGGAGCTGCCAGTGAAGGTAGCCATTAGAGGCCTACCCGCTGACACTCCGCCGGACGCTGTGGCCGCCAGCTTGAGGGCCCTAGGGTTCGAGGTGTCACTGGTGAGGACCATACCGGCGCGTCGAGGGCGCCCAGGATACCTGTTCCACGCGCAGTTGATGCGCATGAACAGGGACGACCTCGCCCGGCTCTACAGCACCAAGGTGCTGCTGAGAATGCCGGGCGTAACCATTGAGGCGTGGCGGTCCGCAAACAGGATGGCACAATGCCACCGCTGTCAGGCGTACGGCCACGCTTCAACTAACTACCATCGTCCGATCAGGTGCGTCCGCTGCGCGGGGGAGCACGCCGCGGGCGCCTGCGACCGCCCGAGGGACGCTCCGCCCACGTGTGCCAACTGCGCGAGGTCCCACACGGCCAACGACCGGCACTGCCCGGTGTATAAAAGGGAGGCGCGCCGCCGAAACATCGCGCCGACTGCGCCGATGCCTCCCGCACCCGTAGCGGCGCCAGGAGAGTGGCAGACCGTCGGCAGGGGGCGCACGAGGGCGCCCCCCACCCATACGACCCGCCATACGGCGCCCGCAGTCGCACATAGTGCGACACAATTGCCCTCCGCCACCCAACTCGCGCCGGTGCGGCACGAGCCGGCCGGGCACGGAGGCGGAGCACCACCAGCGTCGGCAGGGGCGACACTCGCCACACCTGCCAACCCACCGACGGCTCGCGGCGCTCCAGTGAGCACCAAGAAGCGCCGCGGCCGCAGGCGACGCGGACGGTGCGCCGAGTCGACGCCTAACCAAGGCGTCGAAACGGAACCCACCGAGTTAAGTAGTAATAATATAGTTAACAATTTAGTAAATAATAACAACCAGGACGTCGGGTATGTGCCCCCCTTGCTCCCTAGCCACGCAAGGCGTCCCCACGGATTCCTTCCGACGCCGGCCGCGAGCACGCCTGGGGTGTCGGTTGCAGACCCATTACTTTTAGTATTGGGTTTGCTAACCGATTTCCTAAAGGCGCTCGCGACGGGGTCGGACATTAAGTCGGCCGCGCTCGGCGGATTGGCCTCTTTGGAACGGCTACACGGGCGCGGTTGAGCTTCGTATTGCCTACTGGAATCCCGGGGGAGTCGCCCACAAAGCAGGCGACCTCCGACTCTTCGCCCAGCAGCAGGACTTACATGTCATTCTGCTGGGTGAAACTAAGCTAGCCTCACATATCGATTTCAGTGTGCCTAATTATCACGTGTATAGGCGGGACGAGGTCTCTCCGGCGGGAATGCGGTACCGAGGTACGGCGGTTCTTGTCCGGAGGGATGTCGTCCACACGGAGATTGGGCACACTGAATATCGTTCCCTGCATTCCAACGGTGTAGCGTTGAACGCGGGGGAGGTAGAGGTCCGCCTGTTTGCAGGCTATCGTCCGCCCGCCGCTCGCTTTTGCTCGAACGATATTCGAGCCATCATGGACAGCGACAAACCGACCATTCTGGCGGCCGACCTCAACGCGAAACACACCGCGTGAGGGTCATCCCGCGTAACGAGGGACGGTTTGTGGCTGTTTCATGATGCCGAGAGCGGCGGTTACGAAATCCTAGGCCCCTCCCCACCCACTCATGTCCCAACCAATCCCAGGCACACAACCGACGTCCTGGACATAGTGTTGGCTAAGAATGTCCCCTGTCCCATCAACCTGGAGGTGTTGTACGATTTGAATACGTCTCACCTCCCGGTATTGATCACGTTTGACGTAGCGGCCACGTTCGTTCCAGCGTCGCGCCCCAGTAGGAGGATAGACTGGACGGCGTTTCAACGCGAGCCCGACGGGTACTCCCTCAGCGGCGAGCTCGCCACTCCTGAGGCGATCGAGGACGCCTCCACGGCCATCACGGCCGCCATAGTGGCCGCCAAGGAGGCGGCAACGGTCGCCCATACCCCCTCGGGAGCGGCGGGCGCGTTTTGCCGCCGCGAGAAATTACCCGTCGACTTATACGAAATGCTCGTACAGAAGCGCCGTTTTCGTCGCCTATGGGCGCGCACGCGTTGTCCGCGCGTCAAGCGCGATCTCAACGGCTGCACAACTGTCGGAGGGGGTGTGGGTGTGGCGTGGGGCCGCCTGGGACAATCTGATTGAACAGGCGACCGATCACGACACCAACCTGCACCGGCTCTGCCGACAGTTGTCTACACGGCCACCACCCGTGTGTCCGTTGCTAGACGCGACGGGCACACGAAGGTACGCAGCCAAGGACAGGGCAGACATTCTAGCCAACCATCTACAGGGGCAATTCCAGCCCCATCCCCTTGCCGTTCCCACAGATGCCGGCTCAAGAACCCAGCGACCCGGAGGTAGTTGCCTCCGGAGATGCAGCCGGGGTAGAGGGGTTTACCCCGAGGCCCCTACTTCGCCCGCCTACACAACAAGGCGGGCAAGAAGACCTTGATTGATTGATTGACAAAAAAAAAACATTACTTTTACCTTTACTTTATTTACATAAAACAGAATTTTTATGAGTAGGTACGATAAACACAAAATATATTCATAATCATGAAGCATTTTCTTTTCCTAAACTACCCTCACATTACATGGTTACACGTTAAAAAAAAAAGAAGCTCAGCGCGCTGTCCTAAAAGATTATTATATGTCCTAGAAGATACATTATATACCGGTCATTCAAAGATCTCGCGGGCTCATACCGATGAGTGCCAGAATAGACTTGTGTCTGCAATCGAAACTTCACTCCATCAAGTTTCGATCTGGGGTGAATAATTGGGTTGATAAAAAGTCGAGTCTAGGAATTCTGGGCGTTAATATATCTTGCGACGTCCAGTTTTGCGGTCATCTGGAGGTGAAGGCAAAGATAGCTTCCAAAAAGTTAGGAGTGCTCAATAGGGTGAGACGGTATTTCATGCCTAAACACCGCCTGAAATTATATAAAGCTCAAGTCAGGCCGCATATGGAATACTGTTCTAACCTGTGGGCAGGAGGGCCAAAGAACCAACTCCTTCCGTTAGACCGCATTCAAAGTCGGGCGGCTCGAATTATTGATAATCAACGCTTTACTGTCCGACTTGATCCACTGAAACTACGCAGAGATGTTGCATCTCTGTGCATCTTCTACCGAATTTATCATGGGGAGTGTTCTGAGGAATTGTTCGGATTGATACCTGCTGCTGATTTTCACCACTGTATAACCCGCCACAAACTAAAGCTGATCCCAATAATCTGGACAAGTGGCGGTCTTCCACCATGCGTTTTTCAAGGCACTTTCTTCCACGCACAACCATTCTTTGGAACCGATACGACAACATAACCTTCAAAGTCCAGTTTACAGGCTAATAATTGGGATAAGGGTAGGAACATGATGATGTCTATGATATATGTTAACAGTAACCTTGTCTTTATTTAACAGTTTTATTTATTGTACTGGAACGCTAGCGCCTCTGCCTTTAGGAGGTGGGCGTTGACAGCCACGACAGTTATTTTTAACTAATGTGGCTGTTATCGTACACTAGTCTACTTTTGTAATTTGTATGGTTCTAATAAATACATTTAAATTTATCTAAGTTTTTTAGTGTACGTAGATTATGATTCGAATCGGGTTCGGTTAAGTTACGACGAAACGGGAAAAATAGGAGATAAGCGGTGGAGGGTAAAATAACGTTTACACAACTGTAGTATAACAGGTATATTTATAATGACAATAAACAAATACATTGTCTGGCTAGCGTCGATGTATGAATGAAACAAGTAACAATATAACGAGCAAAACTTAATTGATTCATATTTATTGTTTACTGTATACAATTTTAAACATGTATATAAAAAAATTACATAATAGATTATATCCCGGACGCGTACAAACTATATACTAAGACAGTTGATAAATTCAGTATCGGCTCTTTGGTCTGCGATCAATTTACAAATTAAACTCTAAAACGAGGAGCGCGCCGGCGCGGCCCGTGCCGACAGCGGGGTCAGCGGTCGTCGGCGGCCACCAGCGCGCGGCACGTGGCGTCGTTGGCGGCGCCCAGCGACAGCGTGCGGCCCGGCGCCGGCCGCGCCCAGCGCCGCGCCGCCGCGCCGCTCGCGCCGCCCGCCGCCCAGCGCAGCGTCACGTTGTGCGCGTACTGGAAGTCGGGCAGGTGCGCGCGCACGCACAGCGCCACCTTGTCGTAGAAGTCGAGGTCGGCGGCGAGCAGCAGGCGCGGCTCGGCGCGCCAGGCGGCGTGCGCGCGCAGCGCCGGCGCGCCCGGCGCCGCGCCGAGCGCCGCGCGCACGCCGCCCGCGCCGCCCGCGCGCAGCTCCAGCGCCGCGCGCGCGCCGCGCGACCACAGCGACACCTGCGCGTGCGCGTCCAGCGCCAGCGCCGCCGCCGCCGCGCGCCGGTAGTGCAGCGCGGCGCCGGCCAGCAGCGCGGCGCGGCCGGCGCGCGTGCGCAGCGGCAGCAGCGCGCGCAGCGCCGGCGTGGGCTCGCTGCCCGCGCCCGCCCACACGTGGGCCAGCAGCTCGGCCTGCCCGTCGAACAGGCGCACGCCGGCCAGCCGCACGCCGCCCACGCCCAGCTCGAGCCCGCCGGCCGCGGCCTCGGCGCCCTCGTCGCCCTCGTCCAGCTCGGCGGCCGCGCCCTCGGCCGCGCCGGCCAGCGACTCGAGCCCGCGCGTCCACAGCTCCACGGACAGCTGCTCGGCGACGCCGGCGCCGTCGTCGGCCAGCAGCCGCACGCGGCCGGCTCGCAGCAGGCCGGCGGCGGCCAGCTGCACCGAATCCAGGCGGGCGCGCCAGCCCAGCGCCGTCCAGCCCGTGCTGCGCGTCAGCACCGACGACGTGCCTGCGGACCGACGTTCCACTTTCCAATTTCACCCGGCAACCGAGTATCTTAAGCCGTCGATAAATCCTAAATTCTTAAGGTGATTGATCACTAAACAAAGTTAGGCAAGAAATATGAGATGAAGCTAAAACGTAGCTTCGTTAGTAAGATTAGTTGATAATCTTGCAAAATTTCTAAAGTGATTTTTATTATTATGTATAAATATGAACTGACAGATAATATGGGTATATGGGCGAAAAACTAAAAGTCTAGCGGTCGGCACAGAGAGCGGTTAACGATGACTTTTCTAAATCAGTATGCCATTCTTCAATCATGTCAAACCTCCCCCTTTGTTTGCCAGTAATTGCCTCTTTGCAAGTGGACTGGCAACCGCAGTCAGGCTTTAGAGATGTTTTAAGCGAGACGCTGCTGTCCATCCCTTTGCCCTAAGGCAAGGCGAGGGATGGGAAATACCGCCCGGAACAAATTAAATAAGTCACACCTATTTGATGAGCCGGCCTGCCTGCCTCCTTGCGCTGGTGTCTTTCTCCACGGCGCAGCTAAGGAGCCTCACGGGCTCCGGAGCACGCACGACAACTTGTATTGAAACAGGGTCGCGTCATACTTCACGTGTCCATACACTTAATAGTTTTTCCATCAATAGAAACTTAGTTTTATTATGACATCTAACAAGTTGCACACAAAACCACGTCGTAAGCAGACTATGAATTTCACTTGTCGTTTATAGTAAAATAAATACACGAGACAGAGCGTATGCTGCTAATATCCCATGCTCACTTTTCGCGCCAACGCCATATTACTTTTTTTTTTATTTTTCATTTTCTTTTTTTTTATTCGATCATAGTAATGCTCAGGTGCGATGCGACAGCACTCTCTCGTGTGCTAAAACGACCTTCAATCCGTGCGATGCAACCGATATCGGATTTTCAACATTATACTAGCCTAAACAATAGGATTTTTTCCTAAATAAACTATAACGCACATAATTGTATTCTTTTTTCTTAGTATGTGTTTAGTTTTTACAAAATCATAATATAAAAAAAAACGCGTCCTTTTGCACCATCTAGTTATTTTTTTTATACAACTTAGAATGGCAAAAAAAAGTGACAACCGTCGCCTATAAACATGAGCAGTACCATGCACATAACAGAGTACTGTTTCGCCCATGATACCCGCCATGCGTTGTCATTCCTGAGGACTCAGGTGTTATTACTCTGTACCCAGTAAATTCACGCCATATCCCACCCTTTAAACCTTTAAACCGAAACACAGCCATGCAAACACAACTGCTTCACGGTTGAAACACGAATGGGACAGAGGTACCCAAGCAATCGACTTTTGTACAAAGTCTCCCCCTAGTGTGTTGTAAGTGGACAATTAGGATTCGAAACAGATCAGTTTGTGTGTAAATGATAGAAAATAATGGGTGTGTACTGACCGGGCTGTGCCTGCGCGTGCCAGGCGGTGAGGTGCGGCGGCAGCGCGCGCACGGCGGCCGCCACGCCGGCGTCGTCGGCGGCCAGCTGGCGCACGCGCTGCCACAGCAGGCGGCGCAGCTCGGCCGGCGCGGCGCCGCCGCTCACGCCGGCCAGCACCTCGCGCAGCGCGGCCGGCGGCGAGCGGCGCAGCAGCAGGTCGAGCGCGGCGCCGCGCACGTCGAGCGCGCGGCCGCCCGAGCACACGAGCGCCAGCAGGCGGCGGCGGCGCGCCGGCGCGGCCAGCGCGGCCGGCGGCGCGGCGTCCAGCGCGTGCAGCGCGGCCAGCGCGGCGCCGCGCCGGCCGCGCTCGGCGTGCTCGAGCAGCGCCTCGGCGCCGTCGGCGCGCCGCAGGTTGCCGAGCGCCCGCAGCCGCACCGCGCGGCACTCGTCCTCCTGCGCGCGCGCCGCTTGTCATTAGTTGTTAAGATGAAACCGTACGAGGAATCGTTGTACGGGCTCCTCATAGCGCTACATGCGACACGAAACGTGACACATACGTGCACACGTGCGAGCAGTGCCTGTTATACTCATCGTCTCCATCATTTCATTGCAATGCAATCTATAGCTGGTGATATCTAATATCGTCTGAGCGATTCGCCGGTGAACTTGTCTCAAAATGATTTCGGGCGTTCACTGCCATTCATTAGTATCTGCTATATTTTAGAGGTAGGAGTTCCAACTAAAATAGAACGTAGTGTACCTATGGAGTCATATCTTTGTACACCTGCTGCGTACAGTATCTAATGTAATAATTGAAGATAAAGTGGAAGAAAAAACATTACTATAAAACCGAATTTAAAAGATATAATATATATATATATATATATATATATATATATATATATATATATATATATATATATATATATATATATATATATATATAATATAACCACGTAACTGTTTTTGTTTATTTTCTTTTCCCGGGCGTGCCGTGTACTTGATAGAATCCCTTCTATTTATGTATTATTGAAGCACTAAAGAGTTAGTGGATACTAGTGAGGGCCTAGCGAGTGTAATGGTACCGTAATGGTACAGCCGGACCCACCTTGCAGCGGGCGAGCGAGCGCAGCAGCGAGTCGCGCACGGCGCGGCCGGCGCGAGGCCCGGCGCGCGGCGCCGCCGCCGCCGCCGCCAGCAGCGCCGCCGCCGCCACGGCCGCGTCGCGCGCCTCCTCGCCCAGCCGCAGCAGCGCCGCCACGCGCGCCGGCTGCGGCCGCTCGGCCAGCGCCGCCGCCGCCAGGTAGTGGCGCGCCAGCGGCTGCAGCGGGTCGGCGGCCGCCAGGTGCAGGAAGCCGTCGGCCGCCGCGTGCGCCGCCGCCGTGCCCGCCAGCCCCAGCAGGCGGCACAGCGCGGGCCGCAGCGCGTGCAGGCGGTCGCGCCGCAGCAGCGCGGCCAGCGCCGGCGCGGGCGCGGCGCGGACGGCGTGCAGCAGGCGCGCCGCCGCCTCGGCCTCGGCGGCCGTGCCCCCCGCGCCCGCCTCGTCCGTCGCCAGCGCCTCGCGGGCCTCCTCCACCGCCTGCTCCAGCGGCTGCCAACGGACCAATCACGGGAGCTGTACTCGACGTGTTTAATCTTAAAACGCAAAATCTCATACAATTAGGTATATTCACTTTTAATTTATAATCAACTATAATAACAAATTAATCAAGACACTTGCAGGGTGGCCCATAAGTCCTTTGAAAAGTAAAATTTGAATAAAACGAAAATAAAAAGCAGTGGAGAGAAAGCGGGGGCAGTAACTTCGGTTTCTGGGAATTTAGCAGCAATGGAGCATTTCACCGGAACGTTTCATTTCTACTAAATGCGGAAAAAAAAAACCGGTGCGCAAGTTTTATCAAAACAACAATTCGGCAACCGTTGCGCGACGTAACTTTAGAGAACACAAAGGTTCACACAACTTTAACGACACTCCAGCTCTTCAAACGACGGTTCGACGTTAGATAAACCACGGTCAGGTCCACAGCCCCTGTATCGATGTTTTGTTCCGTACGTAATCTATTCGTGAAAATCTTACACTGTCAACTCGTAAGCGTTGTCTCGACTCGACATCGATACAACGGATTTTGAAGAAAGATTTACTTATGCATTCTTACAAAATTCAGTTTGTCCAAGAATTAAAAAAAAAAAAAAAACTGACGGTATGAGAGAGAAAATTATGCGAATGAAATGTTGAATCGGATTACTTCGTTCAATAACACAATGTTCTCGGATGAGGCTCACTTCCATTTTAACGGACATGTTAGTAAACAAAATTACCGCTATTGGAGCCTCATCAGTCCAAAACTTAAGCATCGGAAGCACTTACATATTCCTATCAGCTCATAACATCGTAGGGCCTTCTTTGAGGAAGGCAGAGGGCACACGGTTACTGTTACTTCAGAGCTATATGTGGCTTTAATACCCGGACGTGGTTTCAACATGATGGATCTACTACCCATACCTCTAACACTGCTATGCCCGTTATCCGTCAACTTTTCCCTAGCAAAGTTATCTCTGAGAGAGGAGACATTTCCTGGCCTTCACCTTAAGGCTAAAGTGTACGACACTAACCGGGGGTCAATTGAAGCACCTACCTTCACATAGAATTTACAAATTGCAACTGCAGCAACTTACATAAAATTTCGCAATTTCTCTAATTAAGTTGGTAGTCCGACGAGTGGACGTAGTAAACATCGCTGAAGACATGAGAAAGAAGAGAAGAGAACACAACAGTGCAAGAGCTTATCTTCGGCATTGATAAATAACAGATTAAATAATAAATATGAAAATTATAAGCTGTCATCGGTAACGAAACCTGATGCTCCCACGGAAGAAATACTAGGAGCCTGTAATAAACTACAACTAAAAGTAAATGATCAATTGATCATCTGCGTAGGAGCAGATGACACTCATTGTATATAATGTATGGCATGTTTTATCATTCCTGTATACAACGACAAAAAGTATTGGTTCAAGTTGTACAGTAATTATAATAAGTATTACTCGTATTAATAATATTTTTTTTAACATGAAAATGTTAAATAAAGAAATTAGAGGTGTTTGTCAGGGGTTTAAGAACACCTTCTTTGTGAGAAATGTTACTGCAACCAATTATAATTCTATATTTAACGACATATGTAAAAGAAACCATTCAATATTACTCGTAGATAACATTGACTATCATAGGAAATATTTATGTTCACTGAAAAAAAAAAACATGTTCTATCTAGGAAAATTATTCACTCCCATGCCACACATATTAAGTTCAAAGTATCTTTTGATTCTCTATATATAAAAAAAGGTACTTTTCCTTACTATTTTTCTTGTAAATCGAGTAAAATTAAAGAAAAAAAAAATCTAGTGTTAACGATACACTTCGTAAATCTACATTTAAGAAAAGGACTATTCCATTTTATTCTCTGTTATTATCCAAGGAATTACCGCCAAAAATCTTTTTTCGATAATGAGACCTCAAACTGTGGCAAACAACAATTCGGAATTGTACACCAAAATATTGCAAGTATATTATATAAAAAAAAAAAGATATTCTAGAAACTCCACTAGAAGATCTAAAACTTCAGGATATCGACCCAGATGTGACATGTTTAACAGAAACATTTGTGCAGCCCGGTAGACTGAGAGATATGTTCAAATTGATAATTACGAACTAAAGTCAAGTTTCTGTAGAAATGAACACAGGGGTGCAGTCTGTATTCTTACAAAAAAAAAAAAAGGTATAAACATCTTAATCGTCCCATTTTTAGCACAAAAGGCAATTCCCAAGACTTTTGAATGCTGTGGTATAAAGATAATGGAGCATAATGTTATCGCAATCTGTCTTTAGAGAATACCGTCATCCAATGTTACATATTTTTTGCAAAAAATAGATAGTATTCTTCATGATATACATAAAAAATATAAAAACAAAAAACGTATTATCATAACCGGAGACTAATATAAACACATTTAAAGAAAGTAAAATTAAAGATTATTTATATAACGTGGCTCAAAATCCTAACTTAAAAATACACGTAGATAAATCCTCGTGTATTGATCATATACTAAGTGATGTAGCAAACACAAGCATATCAATTGCACTATTAAATATTTCAGACCATGAAACAGCTCAGATGTTAAGTTTGCCTGTAAAAAAAAAAAAAAAAAAAACTAGACGTATTGAACAGAAATCTTATTTTATATATAAAAGAGACTATTGTAATGAAAGTATAAACAAATTTAAAAAAAACGTTTCATTATTTTATCTTTCGTTGACGTGTATAGAAGAAAAGAACTAAACACAGCATATAATGAATTTTAAAATACTATACGTTTATTATATAAATTGTGCTTCCCTGTCATTAAAATAAAAATAAATACACAATGAAGTAATAAGAAATAGTTGACGCGAGGCCTAATGATTAGCTGTAATACAAAAAGAATACTACGATTTCAATATCACAAGAATAAAATTACTGAAAATATTTTTGAAATATATTCAAAAACTTTAAAGCAATATGTATCTACAAATCTCAACGCAATGAAAATAAAAAAAGTTATAAATAATAGTAAGAATAAATATAAAGCAGCGTGAATATTATTAAAATAAAACAAATATTATATAAAATATTGATGATATAAATATTACAAGCTATGACAACAACCAACAGCTCACAAATCCTAATGACATCGCTAGAGCCTTCGGTAAACAGTTTATACACTTGAGCTCTGGCGAAAGTTCACCCGGTATAAATGTCGCAGCTGATCAGAGACTTAGTTTTAATATATTAAATACTAGACTATTAAACTCCATATATTTGTAAGCTGTAGCGGAATATGAAAATAAAAAAAAAAAAACAAATAAAACCTTTAAATAATACAAATTGTGAATACGATGAAATATGTACAAGAGTAATAAAATCTAGCATGGATGAGATAACTCTGATAAACTTATCATTGTTTATGTATCAGTTGGTTATGTATTCAATTTTTTTTTTTCTTTTTGAGTATTTAATTGAATTAGTGCTAATTGGTGGTTTGTATTCACACAATTAAACTTAAAAATGTAAAATAATAATAAAATTATTTAAAAGAGCATCACGCAAGTTTCTTGCTCGTTCTTCTTGTGATGAGACAGCTTTCCGAACGAGCGGTAAATTAAAAAAAATGTAATGACTTTTCAAAAGTGCTTCAATGTAAGTTTATTTGAATAAAAAAAAAAAAAAAAAAAAAAAAAAAAAAAAAAAAAAAAAAAAAAATTGGAACGAGGATGTTACCCAGATATGCTCAAGCCTTTGTATAAAAAAGGAGACAAAAGTGAAATAAATAACTACCGACCGATGACTAATACCGGTGATATCCAAAATATTTGAGGAATGTATGTTATCATGACTTACAAATTATTGCTTTGAATACGATGTCTTAAATAAGGAACAATATGGGTTTAAAAAAAATAAGAGGCTTAACTCTTCAGTGAATCTCTTTGTACTTAAAAAGTAGACAACGAAAAATTGAAATAACAAGCCTTGACAAACAAATGAAGTTAAATCATATACATCTGATTATGAATATAACAAATCAGGGCTTCCACAGGGCAGCATTTTAAGTTCCTTTTTTTTAAATATATGTTAATGACAATATATATGTAACGCATCATACATGTGTATTATTTGCCGGTGACACTTCTATCATTGTCTCATCTGAAAATAATAAGAATAATGCAACTATAAACCATCAAGTTGACATTAATAGTACTATGGAATCGGTAGTTGATTGGCCAAAGAACAACAATTTACACATTAATATGTGTAAAATCACCTATATAGATTTCAGTACTGGTAGACCCCCATTACACAGACTAGAAATAAAATATAAGAATAAAAAAATAGAAGGTGTGCATCACAAACAATTTCTAGGAGTTCATATGAACAGACAGAGAAATACTCGAAATCCGGATAGATTAATTATAGACCACTGCCCTACACGATTCCAAAAAAAATTTCTATGGATTTGTGTAAAAATATTTAATAAGTTACCTGACAATATTAAGGCTCTTGATGTTAGACATTTTATAAAACAACTGTATAGCTGGCTTAATGCTGAATCATTTTATAGTATAGAGGAATATCTGAACCATAATAGCAATTGACGAGAATATATACTGAAGTATAGCGTATGTAACAATCTCAGGTGACTACTTATCAACTGCAATATCTTTTTTTTTATTATGAATATTAATTTAGTGTTTTATCTCATTAATGGACACTTAATTTACTCTGATTTGATTTGATTTAATTTGAAATTTTGCATGTTCTAGAATATAAGGTGAACATTTGTACTTCACAATAGATCAATATCTGTTAAAACAATGTTTTGGCAAATAAACAAATCTCTAATCTATCTGATAAATGTTTGCATACCAGTATTTTGGTGAAACATGTAATTCCAAGTGTACACAACTGAACATGTAATGTAACCATGTTTAATGCAAATAAAGAATATGGATCTCAAACAATGTGAGCCCTGTAGATGTTACAGTATACAATAAAACAGAAATGATATTTCCATGATTTATATATAGCAACAAAAAAAAAAAAAAAAAAGAAACCATATACTACTGAAACTAGGGACAATTTCCACTAATACATAGGTTTATATATTGGCTGTGCCGTTCGACTCTGTGATCTGTTTAGATGATTTCAGTAACAGTAGACATTTTAGTCTGCAAGTAAGTATTATAAAAATACGCGCTACTTATCAGTGAATATAGTCCAACATAACAGTATTTGTAAAATGTAAATTCGAAACGATAATTTCGTCTCGGTCTCCCTTATCACAACGTATCGATATCGGCTACGAGGCAATAAATAACTCAGGGACTCCGTCGCACGAGAGTGCGAGCGGGTCAACCAGAGCGGCCGTATCGAAGGGGAAAGGTCGCGGCGATAACGTCCACACACTAGGTACGCGGCTTCTCAACTACGATAACACTACTCGGTCGCGCCGTGACGAGGCTCATTTCACGTTACGCGTATGTTAGCATGTCGAGCATCATAGGAATGCAACGTCCCTAGTAACATTCAAATCGGCCGGAGTGAGCGAGGCGAGCGGGCCTACCGTGTCGTCGGCGGTGGGGTCGTCCGTGAAGTGCGGCGCCAGGCTGAGCGGCGCGAGCGCGGGCGGCAGCCGCTGCAGCGTGGCGGCGAGCGCCGGCGGCGCGGTCGGCGCGGTCGGCGCGGACGGCGCGGGCGGCGCGGCGCGGCGCAGATGCAGCGCGGCGCGCAGACGCAGCGCGGCGCCGCGCGGGCCCAGGCGGCGCGCCTCGTGCGCGCGCACGTCGTGCAGCGCGTCCAGCGCCGCGCTCAGCCAGTACTGCGCGCCGCGCTCCACCTCCTCCTCCTCCTGCGCGGCCACGTCAGCCTCGCGCTCCTCCGGCGTCTCCTCCACCGAACACTTCCTCTATCCCGGTCAAAGATACTATATTGTATAGTCGTAAAGTATTTTGTACAATTGATATGTAGGCCATATCTTTCCGACCAGGGGAGATCGTTTGTTACTAGTGCCGGGTAGGGGAAACGTTGCTTAGATGATAAGTATTAGATCAGTGAGAATCAATAAATTTAAATTAAATTAGCTTGTAATTCCGTGCTATTTTGTTTTCCTACATAGTATTGGACATACATATATAGGAAAAGAAGTAATCATGCCATCACTACAATCAATATACATTAATTCTGAGAGCAACATGTGTCCCAATAAACTTACTTTTATCTTTCTGAATGATGTCATCGATATTGTTTCATAAAGCACATCACATTGGCCTGAAATGTCTGACTCTATGTGTTCTCCATCGAGGGCTTGAAACTGAAATAAATAAATAAATAATTTAGTTGTAATTATATATGATTATCCTTCTCCCAACTTATTAATGTAAATACAAAATAACCTATGGCATATTTCATGAAACATGTTAAAGTGCAAAAAAATTTAAAAATTAGATTTGTTTATTTGTCAGTACATTGTTTTTTTACAGATATTCGATCCATTGTGAAGTACAAATGTTCAACTTATAGTCTAAAGCATGCAAAATTATTTTTGGGTACAAGATACATTACATTTACAAACAACTTCGACTTCCATATAAACAACTTTCTAACATTATATCTTAAAATAGTACATAACAATAAATATAAAAGGATATTGTAACTAGTTAAAATTAGTGTACTCATCATGTACATCTGAAATACACCAGTTTACAACCATCATGGAGTGTGCTTCACCGTCCAACATTTAATAAAAATAAAAAAAAAATTTGCTCACTTGAAATAGACTGATGAGTGATTTTTTAAAGTTGAGTATATCGGGTGCCTCATTTGGGTCCAAAAAAGTATTATTAATGATTCCATTCCTCCAATATGCATAAAATGTGGAATCTGCGTGTGAGTCCCATATAGACTTGTGGGGAAGAAACTCGGCGTTCGCGCGGTTCCCTCGAAGAAATAACTTGGGTGATTGCAACTGCAATGGAAACAAATATAAGATCTCAGAACACTTCATAAAATTAATAGAAGTGGGAAGATAGTAATATTAATATTAAACAAAATGGGTACTAACATGGAACTTTAACAAAAACTCATGGTGTGAATCGGGTGCACTCCAGGCCGGCTCGACGATCAGCGAGGCTGTGATTCTGTACCCGATGTCGGTACGGTTAGCGACGTCGTCGGCCAGCAGCACCTCGCTTTCCACCTCGTACGCGGCCGCCGCCTGGAATAGCTTCAATTCGCCGTACTCCACCGCCGGCACCGACGAACTCGACGCCCAATTTATCGGTAAATTACAAGGATGCGACAACACCAGAATAAACACGATTAAATACATTATTTTCCTTAGGCATAAATAACGATTTTGAGATAATTTAAAGTCATTAAAAAAGTTTATAATATAACTTCTTAAAATATGAATTCTCTAACTTAGTAACAAAGTTTCAACTTTTCAAGTTCACTTAACTACAGTAAGTAGTTAAGTTAGATATCTATCAAATAAACTATCAAAGTCAACCGACTTACTGACAACTGAGTCAGATACTAACGGGGTTGCCAGATGCGATATTTAATTTTTACACAAATATTTTTTGTCGCGTGTCATACGATGGCTTTCCGATGGCCTTAATTTTTACGAGAAAAAATTTTTATTTTATTTTTTTATTTTTTATTTTACTTTGAAAGGGAAACATACAATATCTATAACACATAAAAAAATATACATAACCATAACATAAATCAGTAAAGTTTCCACAATAAACTAAACTAAATAATCGAGAGCAGATGATTATTGATATTATATATGATATTGATGAACATAAAATATATATAATAGTATACACACACACACACACACACACACACACACACTTGTAAATATGTGCGTATGCATACACACACACTCACATACATACACACATACACACATACACATACATATACTTAACAATAAAAAAAAAAAAAGAAAACAAATATATCAATAACAATTTTAACATGATTTTTCCCTATCCAATTAAACGGGGTTTGCCAGAAGTTCCTCTCTAACGTGTTTTTTATATAAATTTAAATCTTCTCTGAATACATCTAAAGAGAGGAACTGCTGATTATAACAATTGCAAGCTCTTATAAGATACGTATTACTCATGTAATTCGTGTGTGAAATAGGTGTACAAAATAATTTATTATTTCTAGAATTTACCCGGGGACACCTTATATTAACATTACTCAACAGAAAAGGTGAATCAATAAGATTATTTATAATTTTGTATAAAAATATTTGATCTCTCTCAAAACGTCGTTTACATAAAGACATACTTAAAAGTTTTTCTTTATTAGATCTGCAATGTGGACATTTAAAACAGAGATATTTAATAAATTTGGCTTGAATTTTCTCTATCATATTTATATATATTTTATATTGAGGATTCCAAATAGTAGAAGCATATTCTAAAATTGTTCTTACAAAACTATTATATAATAAAGTAAGCGTGGAACAATGCTTAAAATCTCTACCGACGCGGAGCACAAAACCTAACATTCGATATGCTCTTGAAGTTATATCATTAATATGATTTGCATATGTCATTTTGGAGTCGAGAACAACACCCAAGTCCTTGACTTCTGAAACACGATCCAATTGTTCACCATTTATGACATACTCAGATATAATGTTATTTCTTTTTCTAGAATAAGTAATAATACTACATTTTTTTATATTTAAGTATAAATGATTAGATTCACAATAAGTTACTAAATTATTAAGGTCGTTTTGAAGTAATAAGCAATCAGATTTGGATTTAATAGTCTTAAACACTTTCATATCATCAGCGTAAATTATGAAATTAGAGTATTCTATTGCGACTATAATATCATTAATATATAAATTGAAAAAGAGGGGCCCTAGGTGGGAGCCCTGAGGGACTCCTGACGTAACGGGGATGAAAGAAGAACAAAATCCCTTAATAGCAACAGCCTGACTCCTATTCATAAGATATGAACGAATCCACCGAAGTAAATCTCCGTGAACCCCCAATCTCTCAAGCTTCTGAACAAGTATTAAATGTGATATTTTGTCGAAGGCCTTAGAATAATCAGTGTATACCACATCGACTTGGTAGCCGTTATCCATTGATTCTGTTGTATAATGAACAAATTCACAAAGATTGGTCTCAGTGGATTTTTTGCTAATAAAGCCATGTTGTTGTTCAATAATTATTGGTCTGAGAATTGGGAAAATTTCGTCATAAATTATCTTTTCCATGAGCTTCGGTAATATGTTTAATTTGGATATACCTCTGTATTGCTGTATGTTGTGCCTATCGCCGGATTTATGAATAGGATATATATATGAACGCTTCCATTCAACTGGCATAGTTCCTGTACGCATAGATAAATTAAACAGATAACATATTGGATTGGAGAGAGATTGATTACAATTTTTTAAGAATATAGCTGGGATACCGTCTGGCCCACAGTTTTTTTTTGACATCTAAATTTTTCAGATATTTTTTAACAATTGGAATAGAAAATTCAATGGTGTCTAGTGAGACACAATTGCAGTCAATACTGGAAGATAATGGTATGGATTGACTCCTGTGGACATCCTGCATGGCGGGTTCAAAAGCTGACTGAAAGAATGAGTTAAACATATTACAAATTTGCGTACCATTCGAGCTAGAAACGCCTTCCAGAATCATCGTATCGGGAAAGTCAGATGACTTTTTTTTGGATTTTACAAAGGACCAAAAATGTTTACTATTAAATTTAATATTTATTTCCGCATTCTCAATGAATTTATTATAACATTTCATTTGAACATGTTTCTGTCGTTCACGTAAAAGACTAAAAGATTCATAATCGCTTAACCTACCATAAAGTTTCCATCGTTTATGAAACTTCAATTTTTCATTTATTATTTTAATTAACGCTTTTGAAAACCATGGGGGATGGCGTGAAGCATTTTTAATCTTTAACTCACGTACATGTTTAGAAATAACTTGATTTACCATTGTATAAAATGTGGACAATGCAAAATCAATATCGTTACACTCATACAGAACTGTCCAATCAATATTATTCAGTTCTTCATTTATTGCTTCATAATCAGCTCTATGATACAATTTTACAGTTACTGGGGCAGAAATCAAAGGGTGAGAATGCATATTAAGACAATGAATCTCCAAGGCCGGATGATGAGCATCTTGAGATACGAGTGGCTGTACGCATTGCTTGACGAGACATTCTGAACTGCTAATGATCAAATCTAACAGTCTACCATTAATATTTAGGACACCGTTATATTGTTTGAAATCTGTATAATTTAAGAAATTTTTAATTGTATCAATATTAACATCATTATTATTTGAATCGCATAACGTTAGATAGTTTACTGAATCTGATGAAGTCCATTTCGCTGAGGAAATGTTGAAATCACCAGTGATTAAATATTTATCATAAGGACAAGCACTAACAGTATCCGAAACGGTTTCGAAGAAGTGAATTAATGCATCGGATTGCAAACGGCAATGCGGAAAATAGCCACAAAACACATGCATTACACAGGATGTTGAATCAAAAGTAAGGGATAAGGAAACCATTACAGCTTCAGCCGCTGAATTTTGAAAAGAAATTGGGGAAAAACTGTGTACAGATATACGTCGATTAACAGCGATTAACACACCACCCCCAACACTGTCACCTCTAGAAGAATAATCCCGGTCGTATCTATAAACATTATATCTCATGTCAAACAATTCTGCGTCATACAATCCAGGCAATAGCCAAGTTTCGGAAAGACAAATAACATCGAAGTCAACCTCCATCAGATTTCGGAAGAACGCGTTCGTTTTTGTACGCAACCCTCTAACATTTTGATAATAAACATTAAGTTTATCAACATTAGCCATTTCTAATATTGTAATTTTTTAACATATATAAAATAACATTAATATCAATCCTACTGACACAATCAAGAAATAAAAATAAATTTAGTAATTCCGAGACTTCGAGAGAGCAAACACTTATAACCACAAACAAGAAACCCCATAAACTATCAAAATTGAGTTTTTTATATTGAAAATATAGGTGACCCCAGGCTAAAGCACACCGAACATTAAAGGATAAGATGATTAAACATAGAGTTACAACAATGTTGGCCAGGAACGAGCATATACACACTTCCAATAAAATTGTATTAGTTCTTACTTGATTTTGTTTAAATCCTTAGTATTAGAAATGTGTATGACAGGACTCGTATCAGAACGACGAACCATTATTGAACAATTCTTCACCCAAACAAATGCAAAGTTTCTCTCCTTGGCCAAGACCTTAGCGCGCTGCAAGACGCCCTTATTAACACTAGTAAGGTGATCATTAAAATAGATGTTATTGTTATTTCCACTGAAACCAAAATCGCACGCTTTCAATTTAAGTTTTTTCAAATGTGTCAAAAAGTCGTCCTTTTTGTAACGCGCCAAAAATCTTAAAACGATTGGTTTAATTCGCTTATCACCAGATGAATTCATCCTTGGAGCGACGCGGGTGACAAAATCAATATCCCTAGAAACGTCCATTTGAAAACCAGTTCGATCTGCGATATCTTGCACCAGATGCACCAAATTTTCAGTTTTCTTTTCAGGGATTCCGTAAATCTCAATGTTCGAACGTCGTGCCCACTGTTCTCTGTTATTGTTCTCACACTCCAGACTGTCTATACGCTGTTTCAACTCTCCAAGGCTTGCTGTTGTTGATGTTATAATTTTAGAGTCATTCTCCAATGTTCTAATACGTTTGATTACGTCATCGAACCTTGTACTTAAAAATGAAACGGTTTCTTTTAAGGTGGATATTTCACTTTTAATGGCACCTAATTCCGACGCAATTGTATCCTTTATCACCGTCTCCATATGTTGTTGAAGTTTAGCAATTTTTGCGTCGAGCACAGTTTCGAGTAGATCTATAGAAAACTGTTGGGGTTCTCCCTGTAGAACAACCGCACTAGTTCCGCCGCCTCTACGAATAGTGATGTTATCAGGGCTAACGACTGACTGCTGAGAATTGGAACAGTCTCTTATAGGTGTATTGTCACTTTTTAGGACTCTGGGCTTCTTTGCTAAACATTCCACACAGATCCATGTGTTCCTATATTCAACAGAAATAACCTTTTTCATGTCTGATGGAAACAGGCAAGAGATATGAAAATTTAACCTGCACTTTGTACAGACTATATAACCGGTAGTGCTCTCCGATACAGTTTTGCAACAAGTAAACTTCATTGCGGTAAATAACTAAGTACTTCTTCTTTAGAAACTACTAGGTATCTCTGTAATCTTTATTAATAAATTAAATCTTACTCAAAAATACTCAATATGCGGGTACTTGATAGTTAAAATGTTATTATCATAAATTGGGCGGTAGATTGCTATTATATATTTAACACAGTCACAAACACGACACTTAATTGCTACAATTAATTATAGCCTCTTAACAATATGTGATAGTATAATTCCGTTTATTGTATAGGTATAACTCCGTACTGATTACTTTAGATTACATTCAATAAATATGGACAATAAAAATTAATAATTTATAAGAAAGAACTACGTAACATCTGCTCAACGTCAAGGTAGAACTGTAACTGTAACTGTAAAATACCGCGCTTCTGTATGTTTTCAATTTTTATTTTGTCTTATTCCGTCTTCTGTTTTATTACTTTCACACATATATTTTATACTGCTCTATGGTTGTTTTCAACCACCAATACTGCCAAAAAAAAAAATTACCAAATTTTCTTATTTCATTTCAAACCTATTTCACCTTTCTTCAAAAATTTCTCTAATATTTTCTAATTCCCAAAATTTCATATATACTCTGTACTCTTCAGTATACCTTGTTACGTAAATGGTACTATTCATATAGGAGACGGTTACTACTTTCCTAGAGAAATAGTACTCAGAACTTCCCATCAGGTGGGCTGTCAGCTTGTTTACCATTCTTACATATATAAAAAAATTGCTACTATAAATATTTTTAGCCAAAATTATGAAAAAATACACTTTCTGACAATGCTGATTATTAAATTAAGGAGAGGGTTGCCAGTTGCATTTTTTTATTTTTACACAAGTATAATTGATCCGATACTCTTCAATAATTTTGACCGGCAGTGGTCAAAATTGTGATGTTTTTTCCCTAAACATTTTCTACATTCTTAAGTAAAATGTCTTTAGTATTACTACTAACACATTGTAAGCACAGTAGTTTTTAGTACTGTTCTATTGACATAGTATAGCTCATAGACTTAGTAAAACATACTTTATAATCTAAGGTATGACCAGCCTGTTATTATTTAGTAATTTGTCACGATTAACTACGATAATGTTTAGGATGATCTAGTTAAAGTGTGACCTAAGTATATGATATATCGCTAAGCCATGTTACCAGTAATGCGCTTGGTAATTGGACACCAATAAAAGTTGAAGTCTGACAAACTGCTGGTAACACTTTGTATATTTATAATTGTATGTCATGTAGACTAGATGGTACATGATACCGTCTATTATTCATGGGCACACATATTCAAATTATTCAGGAGCGACTGGATTTAGGCGACTGGTTCCGTCCGCAATTCGTAGGTGGCGCTGCGTATCTCGTTTCCTCGTCGATTTTTTTTTTACTTACGGTAGACGTGATTTCTTTCTGTGTTCGGGGTGGGTATGAAATAGTAGGTACAAATTTACTAAAGAAAAACAAATTTTGATTATTTATGTATATTTTATTTGGTATAAAATAATATAGGTAATTTCATTATAAAATAAAAGACCTGAAGGAAACTATTTTATAAGAGCAGCCTACACCGGTAGGTAGTTATGTCCGCGCGTTCGACTAATTTAGTATTTGTTTCGGAGGACAACAGTACACTCGATTAGTTTTTCTCGTGCGTTGTCGGTTTAAATGTGAATCAGGTGCGCACGCGCACATTACATGCTCGCTCTAGGCAGTGAGGCTCGAGTGTCTGGCGCTACGGACTTTTAGCGCGGCAGTCCGCGGTATCTAGCTATCCGTCTTGTCTACGTAGTAGCTCTATGACTAAAGAAATTTACATTAAAGGACTAAGTATATTATATTAAATTGCACATGTTCGATCCGTATTCATTGAAATAGTATACGTGATTACAAATAGATATATAAATAATTTAACAAAACATTTTTAAAAAAAATATTCTACATTAAAAATTATATCACAATTCATACTCTTCTAAAGAGAAACCAGGATGGCTTCAGAAGTTAAATAAATATCTATTGAATAGAGTTTTGTACTGTGAATGATCCGGTCTAGTGGAGCGGGTGAATTCTTTGGTCGCTGCATAGCAATATAACAAAGTATTGTAGATAAATACTGAGAGGGTATTTATTTACAAGAACTCGTGTACCTAATGTACCTTATGTTACAATCTATCTCGCGAGCCGGTGCGGTAGTAACAGTAGGTACACGTAGCGGGTGGCGGCGCGCGTATCGCTGGCCGTATACTGGGTCGCCGCCGCCAACGCTCTTTAGCAACCAGCCACACCGGCGGCCGACAAATTTTATCGAATAGCTACATAAATAGGTATATAAAACTCAACGATCAGGAATCAACAACAACAGAGTATCAACAATTTAGTGTCGTAGGGTGCGCATCCTCGTCGCCCCGGCGACGGACGTGCGGCGCGCCCTCACGTGTAGATGGTCATCAGGATCATCTGTAAACATAGCGAGTGGGTGAGTGCAGTCGTGTGCGCGTGTGCGTGTGGACGCGGGCGGGCGTGGCTGGCGCGACGTACCTCCTCGAGCGAGAGCGCGTGGTCGCGCAGGCGGCGGCGCAGCGCGCGGTGGCGCTGGTGCGCGAGGTGCAGGCGCGCGAGCGCCAGCAGGCTGGCGTCGGCGGACAGGCGCGCGCGCGTCGCGTAGCGCAGCACCAGGCACTCGAGCACCTTGTTGGAGGCGGTGAGGCCGGCGGCGTAGAGCAGCGCGCGCAGCCGGTACGAGGACAGCGCGCGCGCCGGCGCCGCCAGCGCCGCCCAGGCCGCGCGCCACGCCGCCACCTGCGCCAGCAGCGCGGGCAGGTCGGCGGCGCGCATGCGGCCGCTGGCGCCCGCGTCGCGCAGCGCCACCAGCGCGCCGCACAGCGCGGGCGACGCGCGCGCCGCCAGCGCCGCGCGCAGCGCCGCGCGCACCAGCGCCGCGTCCACCTGCCGCCATTCTCTCACACTTATATTCCGATTCTAGTACATCCTTTCACATTTTTACCTCTCCCTCTAGCAGGGACGAAAGTCTACTCGGCAGGAAATGATTTTAATTATACGCGGGACCCTCAGAAAGTTTTGCGGCACTAAAAAAATGTTCTACAGGTACAATATTTTTATTACATCCTTTCAAAGTACTCTCCGCCAGCCTCTATAAACAATTTCGTGCGTCTGAACCGGTTTTCAAAACACTTTTTCCAGTCCGCCGCAGACACCTCGAACGCTGAGAGCGCATCATCCGCCGACGAAAATTGTATCCCTTTGACCTGATTTTTTATTTTTGGGAACAAGAGGAAGTCACGCAGTGCTAGGTCAGGACTGTAAGGAGGGTGACCCAGGAGTTTAACCGGTATGCTGTCTAGGAAGTCCCTCGTTTTGATTGCGGAGTGGGCGGGCACATTATCGTGATGGAGCAATAGCCCGCGGAGCCCTGTGTTTGGTCGCTCGTTGCTCACAACAGAGAAATCTTCTGCCAAGCATTTAGCAGTATACGATGCGGCGTTAATGCTTCTTTGGTTTCATAGAGGAATTGACACCAAGTAGCCAGTCAAATTGAAAAAACTCGCGATCAAAATCTTCCCCCCGCTTCTTGGTCGCTTTACTTTGGTAAGCGTTGATTGGTTTTGAAACACCCAAATCGTTAACTGGCGCTTTGTTTCTGGATCGTATTGATAAATCTAGGATTCATCACCTGTAACGATGTCGTAAACACGCCGAGACGAACCTGCTTCAAATTTATCTACCATATCATAGCACCATTCCACCCTTGCCTGCTTCTGAACATCAGTGAAGTTGTGCGGCATCCAGCGTGAAACTGTCCTCCGCACCCGTAGATGCACGGGTAGAATCTCATGAAGGCTTCCTGATCCAATCTGCAGTATATACTGAAGTTCTTGGTATGTAACTCGTCTATTGTCTTGGATCAAATTTTTCATTGCCAGCACGTTTTCTTCCGTAATAGGCGTCAATGGGCGACCACTTCTTTTTTCATCCCCCAAAGTTAGTCGACCGCGCTTAAATTCATTATACCAACGATACACGGTTGCCTTAGAAGGGCCTTCATCCATGAATGCCATTTGAAATCTATCGTACGATTCGTCCGGTTTCAGATGACACTTAAAATAGTACTCGTAAAAAACCTAGCGCGAAAATGTTCTCGACGCAAATCCATCTTTCGATGGGACACGGTAATTTTAATTAGTTCGCAAAAAATATGGAGGAAAGTTTTGAATTTAGAACGTACCTATTTTTACTTATAAGTAAGATTTTTTTTAAATAAATTATAACTGGCCAGTCTCACATACATAAAAACTTTTTCTCGCAATACTTTCTGAGTGACCTGGTTCTACAAAAAAAATCATCATTACAAATTCAACCATTTTTACGTGGAACGATAGTACACAATAACATAAATAAAACTGCAAAACAGTTATTTTGATTCAGTATCGCATACATATATCCATGCGATAAATTTCTATAAATATTTAACACTGGTAAAATTTTGTTTTTGTTACAATTTTGCTATAGTATATGTATAAACAACATATAAACATCAGTGGGCCGTCAGCTTGTTTGCCGTTCTAAGGCACATTAAATAAAATATCGTCATGTGAAAAGCAATCAGAAGCAGCACATGTACAGTAGAAGTATTCAAACGAGCTCACCTCTTCGACATCTCGTTTGCCGAGCAGCTTGTACACGCTCGCCCGCAGCTCCGCCTGCGCACCGCACCACACAGTATAGTAGGTACCACTCGTTACTAGGTACATCTAGTATTATTATATTACACGTACATACGTATTCTAATAACAACAACATACTCTAATACGTTCATCTCTTATTTATTTATTTATTTATACTTCACTCTACGCACTAATAACACATACAGAAATATGTATGACAGTGGAAAACAAACAAAGGCTAGCATAACTCTGCAAGGGTTTTCTTCCAGAAAACCCAAAGTGGAAAAGAAGACCAATGTCAGCGAGAGAAAAAAAGATCAATATAATCTATTAGGTCGACCTCCACGCGGTTCCCTTTGAAACCATTGTGGGTATTTCTTGTGGAATTGGTCACGATGTGCCAACTGAGCTGCATTCATCTTCACCTGTTATCTCTCACTGATACATCGCCAGTGTATACCGATAGCGTAGACAGGGTTACCACTTCATATTCACTCATTAAAAAAACAGAGCGACATTGATGCGGTTCCCAATGGAAACCCTCATGGTTATTTTTTGATGAATTTATCACGATGAACCAATTGACCTACTTCATCCTCGTTTATCATCCCTATCATCCCTCACTGGTGCCCCGCCAGCGTAGACCGATAGATCAAGCAGGGGTACCATTTCATTTTCATACATTAAAACTAAAAAAATATTGAAATTTTATAACTATAGCTATCGTCGTTAGCTTTATAGCTATGGTTTTTTCACAATGTATTATGCACATATATGTATATATGTATGTTCTACAAAAAAGTCAACTCAGTTGTAGCAAAGCCGGTTATTTTGATTTCAAAACTAAACCATTGAACCCACTTTGATAAAATGCCTACAGGACCAATATGTAAATATACCCTTTCAGATAAACTAACAATTTTCCAAATCGGTTTATAACTGAAGGAGTTATGAGGTGACAAACAAAAAGAAACACAACTGAATTTAGAACCGCCTTCCTTTATAAGTCAGTTGAAAATATACTTAATTATAAAAAACATATTGTCTCTAGCCAGTTTCACTAGTCGTTACTAACGTCTCCTTCCTGATGCCTCCATTTTCCTTTTTTTCAATATATAACAGAACCTCCACCAGATTAGTAATGTAGTAAAAAAAGAAATATTAAACACATATTACCGGTATTGCTTCCTCGTTATCCAGAAATTCCTCCGAAATATTGCGAATGATCATGTTGTCTTCATTCACTTCCCTGGGGGTAAATTTAAATTATGATACGAGCGGAACTAGGGATACCTACTTGTACGTGTGTGAGTGCCCGAACTAAATAACCCTATACTCTTTGCGTTATCTCTGAGGCAAGCATTTTTGTATATTGCGTCTTTTTTTTATACAACTTATAATGGCAAACAAGCTGATGGCCCACCTGATGGAAAGTGGTAACCGTCGCCTATAGACATGAGCAGTACCATGGACATAACAGAGTATACTGATTACTCCCAATGCGTTGCCATTCCTAAGGACTCAGGTGTTATTCCTCTATACCCTGTAAATTCACTGCTATATCCCACCCTTCAAACTGAAACAGCTTGTTTGCTATTCTAAGTTGTATAAAAAAAAATCGTTATATTTTAATTTCGCCATAACTTCAAAACAAAAGGTCCAATATTAATCATTCAAAGACCAAATATTATCTACATAAACTGTACTTAGTGATGAAATAATTTATTTTGATAAGGATTAATAGCATGAGTAAAATAAATGCGTTTAAATGTAGTCCAAAACAAATCAAGATTTTTAAATAAAAAAAATGGTTGTTGTGCCTCACTCGACATAGATAGACACTTTCGCGGACTTTTTTGGAGATATTTATAAGATCTATAATTAATTAGAACATTTTATGCTTCTATCTTTTATAGTTTAGGCAGCGTACACAAAATAAGTAACTTTTCTGGTAAATTTTTTACACCTTGTGTCCGAAAAACCCAAATATTTTACGGAACCCTATTTGTTTTCAAAATAAAATTTAGCCTATGTTACTCGTGGATAATGTAGCTTTCGAATGGTGGAAAAATAAAGGAATTTTTAAAAACGGTCCAGTAGTTTTAGAGCCTATTCATTACAACCAAACAAACAAAGTTTTCCTCTTTATAATATTAGTATAGATTATTATAGCGCTTTGACGGCTCAACTAATTACATACTATGAAATTATGCTAGTTTTTGTCTCTAGTCGGTAAATATATGCCGGCTACGTGGAGGAAGTTGTGGGTCAAAGCTAGTTACCTACAAATACTGACGATATTATCGGAATAACTGTTAACATCTAGATTAAATCAGCATCACAATTTAGTAGCGGGACACCGGATGTCGCCGTCACATTTTGTTACACTCTACTCTAGCTCGCTAGCGATAACATTTCCATTGATTGATTCGTTTGCCACGTGTCCAAGGGAACACGATTGCTGTACTCGGATAGCGACGTGCTCGAAGCCGCTAGTGTTTGTATTTAGTAAACTAGGAGAGGCTATTCGTGCGAGTGGCAATTAAAAATCTGCTCAGTCTTCTAAGCGTTAATGAGTGACGAAGTTTCACATGCAGTGGGAAGGCATCGGCGCCGACTAACCAGACGTCGGCGTGGTGGTCGGTGAGGATGCGCAGCAGGAAGGCGGCGTCGGTGTGCGGGCGGCGTGTGTGCGGCACGACCAGGTACTGGCCCGGCGGCAGCGTGAAGAACGTCACCACCTCGCGCGCGCGCGACTCGTGCGTCACGTCGAGCGCGCGCAGCGCGTGCAGTGCGGCGCGGCCGGCGCGGCGCGGCGCCGCCGCCGCCCCCGCCGGCAGCTCGTAAACGGCGAAACCGATGGCGTGCAGGCGCTGCGGCGCGGCGGCCGCGTACTGCTGCGTCACCGACACCACCACGTGGCACTTGCGCGCGCCGCCCGCCTCCGCGTGCGGGATCTGCACGTGGAACTGCGGGTTGGTGCCCGTCGTCTCTGCACACAGAGAGCGCGGCGTGAGCGGGCGCTGGTGGCGCGGGTGGCGCGGGGCGAGGTGAGGCCGGGCGGGGGCGGGACTCACCGCGGCAGGAGGGCGGGCCGCCGGCGTTGTAGCCGCGGCGCCAGCGGCGGCGCGCGAGCACGGCGCGCCAGGGCCGCCTGCTGCGCAGCGCCGGCTCGCTCATCCAGTCGTCGGGCCCCACGTGCACCAGCTCCAGCTGGCTGAACGACCGCGTGAACTCGGGGAACGACAACCTGCCACCATACTCACACTTCACTACAACTACATATCGCTCCGCAAAATATAGCAGTGCCCTCGATTATTACGACATCGAGGCGGGACTAACTCCCATTGGTTGCAATATCTTCTTTTTATACTTATAATAATTATATAATAATAATTTTTATAGTATTATAATTCCTTTTCCTTTTCGTATATTGTAATCGCAGTCAGAAGAAAAGCTTTCCTAACCGTAAAACGTGTGATTTAGACAGGAAGGCCAACCATGCCAGCTGAAAATAGTTTGGGACGAGAGCTAGAGCATTCATTACTTAGTTCCGATTGTTCACTAAACTTGTTACGCAGTTAAATAATTAGATATGAATGACTAGCAATTTATTGCAAACAATAGTTTGTTTTGGTTCTGAAGATTAGGCACATTACTGTTTTGTATGCAAAGAAAATAAATTAGTATTAATGTAAGTTTTGTATTATTATATATTCGAACACAATTTGTTACACTGTATGTATACAAATGACCGAGCGATCAAAATAGGATCCGTTTCGGCAGAACTAATAGAGCATTGCAGTAAATGGTGTGATTGTCAAGCAATGCTATGCCGGTGAAATACGTATGGTGCTTGCATACTTCCCCCCCCCCCTGCTCCGCAGTGGCCACAGCTTCATAATATATCTAGAGCGTGGGAAATAACGCCGCAGCACTGTACACATTGCAGGTAGGTCGCACAGTTGCACTGTGACCCGCTCGTCCCATGTACTGGACTGGGCTGAGACTCGCGACTACTCATATTAAAAGAAATGCATAGGGCCCGGTTAGAGTCAGACGGTAAAAGGATTGGTCCCGCCGGCGACACTACATTATATCAAAATAACCATTTATAATAAATAGAAACATCCAGGCACCTCTTTCATAAAAAACAATAGTTGCAAAAGTTTTATTACATTTTCAACCGACTTAAAAAAAGAGGAAGTTCTCAATACGCGTGTATTTTTTATATTTGTTGCCTTATAACTTCGTTATTTATAATAATATTACACCTTGAAACAATATTTCGAAGCGGGAAGTATTAGAGTTCACACCTTCTACGCCATACGTAATAAATATTGTACATAGATGATACATACATAGTAAATTATGATAATATATTTACAAAGACGATGCACGTACATATAAAGAAGGCTAGCTATTTGTAAAAACAGTCGGCTGTCTAGTTAGTGTAATGATGCGATGATGCGATGAGTCCTGACCATTTTCGGTCACGGCGACCGCTTTGAATCTGCTGTGATTAATGTAATTAATTGTCTACATAGGGGGTCATTAAGATATCTGTTGTTGGCGTTAGTGTGCTCGGATGCGGCTCACATAGCCAATCTTTTTAGTAAAGGTTCTACTAGCACGCGGCGGGCATGCGAGCACTCCGCCGCTGTTATAATTATAATAATTTGCTGCTGGTAGTCGAGTTTCTATTTCGTCTCTCTTGGCGTCCAGTTGAGAAAGTCTAGTTAGTATCTACGCATGGTAGTAGCACTGCTTAGTTTAGAGAAAAATTATTTTATTTATTATTATTAATTATTTGACAAAAATGACGCTATGATATATTTAGGGTTATTTTAAATTGAACGAGAATCACTCTGGCATCATCATATCAACCGTTAACTGACTACTGTTGAACATAAGCCTTTCTCATGCAGGGGTTTTGTCAGTAGTTGCCACGCAGGCACTAGGCAGGCGGGTTGGCAGGCGCAGTTAGGTTTTTGGTGATGGTTTAAGATGGGCGTCTTAGTTACCTCTTACGAGACCCACGGGAAAGGCAAGGGTGACATTTTATGTTGGGTCCACACGGTAGTCAGCAATCTGGTAAAAATGGAAATATCTAAGGAAAATTTGCGTGCGAGAATTTTCTACAACTTTCAAAGGGGATTATCGCGACTTTAGTGCTCTGAAGAGATCAATTCTGTGTTTAGTGATGCAGCACCATGTCTTTGGACTGTAGAACGCTAGTATTTACAATTCCAACATGGGCACTCTAGCCTCAGTGACAAGCCACGTGAAAGTCGTTCAAAAACCGCTATGCACAAGAGATTATTGAAGCCGTGCGACATACCAACATACCGTGAAAAAGAGGCATTCGTGGGCATTTCAGGGACCCCTGTCCAAAAAAATCCTGCACGTAGAACTTGGTGTAAGAAAGTTGATCTCTCATTGGATACAACATTTGCTTAGCGACGACCAAAAAACAGCCTGTGTTAGTTGGTGTCACACAATTCTGCAGCGATTTAACCGAGGAGAGTTAAAGCATGTTTATGATATAGTTAGTGATGACGAGTCTTGGATATATGCTTACGATCCAGATTCTAAGCAGCAGTCATTTGTCTGAGTCTTCCAGGATGAGTCAAAATCGACCAAAGTCATACGCTCACGGAGCACTTCGAAAAAAATGGTCGCCTCGATTGTGGCAAAGGGTGGTCATGTCTCCACAATTGTATTAGAACATCGCAAGACGGTTACCGCTGACTGGTATACCACTGTTTGTTTTCCATAAGTCATCACCGAATTTCGAATAAATATTTCAAGACGTCGCATATGCCCTAATATAATACTGCACCATGACAATGTGAGTTCGCACATCGCCCGCCGAACAAAGATGTTTTTGAGCACTTAAAATGTCGAAATGTTAGATCATCCGCCTTACAGCTATGACTTAAGCCCTAAAGATTTTTTTACGTTCCCCAAAATTAAGCAGTCTTCGTGGTCAACGTTTTAGCTCACCTGAAGAAGTCGATGACGCATACAAATCGGCCATTTTGACTACCCCTACTTCGAAGTGGTATAAATGTTTTAAAAACTAGTTTGTACGCATACAAAAGTGTATTAAATATCGCGGAGTATTCTTTGAAAAACAATAAATGGTATTAGATTGTCTATACTTATTTCAAACAACACAACTTAGAAGTCAACCTTCGTACAAATATATTTATCTACCTATTGGATGTTTGCTTTTAAAAACCGTTCTTTATATTCATTTATTACCTTAGGTCAGTCGTAGTGAAAATGGAGATGTGAGTAGAACGGGATATGAAAGTGTTAAATCAGGAGATACAGTACGCTTAGAGTACCTATGTAGGTCTGCCGCCCAGCCCTGACTGACGCCGGCGGTCCGGCACGGTTCTGCCGAGATCCATCTTCTGGTATCGGGACGAGGGGCCAGGACAGATCGAGAGGGCGAGTCGGAGTAGTAGTATACTGCGATATGGGGAGAAATTTTAAAATGTAATAAAAAATATACTGACCAGTAGTCGTCAGGGTGGTCGGCGCGCTGCTCGAGCAGATCGCGGTCGGCGGCGGGCAGCGCGTGGCAGGCGCGGGCGGAGCGCGGGGCCGGCGCGGCGCCGCCGACGGCGCGCAGGCGCACGAGCGCGCCGTCGGCGGGCGCGGCGCCGCGCACGCGCGCCAGCCCGGTGACGGCGGCGGACGCGGCCGAGGAGGCGCCGCCCGTGGCCACGAGCAGCGTGGAGCGCGGCACGGCTGAGTTGAGCACCTGGAAGGTGAGCGCGCGCGGCTGCTGGCGCAGCGAGAAGCTCTGCACCACGCCGCCCGTGAGGTCCTGCAGCGCGCGCGCCGTGCTGCCGCCGCGCAGCGCCCGGTACGACCCGTACAGCCTGCGCGCACGCCACACTGCACACCGCGCACTGCACCCAACTATACGCGCCTACATCGTCGCGCGGCCGATGGCGCGGGCCACCCGACGGCAATCCCTCCTCTTACATAATATTATATCAGCGGGATATACTTTTCTAAAACATGCTTGGAAATGTGAGCATTATTTTGACAATCTTCTCCGAGATAAATCAAAATTGCCGTACAGGCCAGATATATGCGGGCAGCGGCTAGCAAAAATTGTATGAAAATCCATATCTGTCGTGTTTTGCGGCCAGATAAATTACTATGTAAAATCATATCCGGCCTGTAATTTAAAAATGGAATGACCTTTTACTTCGAAACAAGGCTACCAAGGAGGTAACTAATAAAAGGTTTTATTTAAATTTCGAGCTGGCTTGCAATTAAAAAGCTTTTTATTGAAAAAAAAAACAAAGGAACATTATGGCGCGTGAAAAATTATTATTGTTCGTTATTCGTAATTGAACTTAAAAAGTAAAATTATGTTTTTGATTTCCACGCATTGTTTGAGAAAAGTAATATACAAGCCTTGGCCACAACTAGGCGTTGATGGACTCACGTATGTGTGCCTCGGCTATGCCTCGACCCACATTTGCACGTTCGTTCATCATTGCCTCAGTTGCTAGCCGCTGCAGTAATGTACTATAGTGTACTTGTGCGAGCACTTCGTAAACTGTTGATTGCGCATATCATATTCATTTTAAAACCACATTTCATTTAAGAATTTACATTTAGTTTTTGTTTTCCTTTTGATCTTCCTTATTTATCCTATAACAACGCCTTCAATTTCATAAACTATTTTGTTAATATTTGTGAGAAATTGTTAGTGACTTAGTTTGTACTTACTCGTAATCCTATACCATTTTATATAAACCAGTATAACCCTAGTTCTCCTTTAAAAGTAAATAACAAAGAGTTTATTACTGGAGTCCAATTCTTTAAATATTGAACTAGTAAATTTAATGTGACGCATAACTACATATCGGTGGTGATATTTTGTATCAATTCCTATGTTGCTAAATCGTCCTATCAATTATAATGGCAACTGCATGTACGTGAAAAACTCTATCGACCCTCGAGTCCGAGATCGTACTATGAGTACGATCATGCAGTTGTTGTATTTATCTACTCGTATCGCACTGTGGGTATGAGATATTTTTTCATCGATAGTGGTGACGTCGTGCTGATAACTTACTTGGCGTAGGCTTTCTCTAGCAGCGGTAGCGTGAAGTCGGTGTGGTGCGCGGGCGCCGAGCCCAGCAGGCGGCCGCTGCACGTCGGCAGCCGGTCGTCCACCACCACCTCGCGCCACGCGCCGAATATCCAGAAGTTGAACCTGTGCGCGCGATCACTGCTGCACTCATAAAATAGAACGACATAAACGCTCCCGGCACACCGGTCGGCTAGCATATTTTTAAAACAGCAAAATGCAAAAACGCTGCTCGTCTACCGGACGAGAGCTCGCACGGGTAGCGCGTTGCGATATACTCCCAGGGCACTCGGAGCGTTCGAAATTATAGGGTTACAGTACAAGCGAAGACAAGCGGGGACGCGGTTCGCGGCCGGCTGGTCGGCCAGTGTTAATTTTACAGCTAGGATGGCGTTAGCGAGCGACTCGGCCGACATGACGGGGCCGCTACTAATAGAAGGCGTGTGGCGGCGCGGTGGGTACCTGAAGGCGCCGGAGTAGCGCGCGCGGAAGGAGTGCGGCGGCGCGACGCGCGCCAGCAGCCGCGGCGTGAGCGCCAGCGCGGCCGCCGCGCCGCGCAGCGCCGCGTCCGCCGCCTCGCCCGAGCCCGCCGCGCCGTCCGCCACGCGCCACCTGCGCCCGCACACACACTACCACGTACAACCTCGCCAGCCTGCTCGAACCCGCCAGTGGCGGTCTGTACTTACGTGTTCACCGGTTTGATCCAGTAAATTGGAAATATGACGGACATAACGACGCAGGCAGTGTAGGAAGTTTCGTATATTAACAAGTGTGTACAGAAAAAGGAAAGTAAGTACCCTGTCCACAAAAACAAATTAAAAAGTGTTTGTCGTCACATTAGTTCTATTGTCTCAGTGGAGGCCATAGTTCCTGGAACAATTGCGGTCAGATGTAGAACTACACGTGTACGAGTGAATGAGAGTGGCGCCCTCACCGAGCCGCGAACTCCTCGTCGAAGTGTGCGGCCGTGACGTCGGGGTCGTCGGGCGCGCGCTCCACGCTCTCGTCGCCGAGGAAGGTGGGCCTCGGGCACAGCTCCTGGACGACACGACGGGCCTTTTAAATTACATTCACGCGAATTTTATTTGTACGACTTATATAACGAGCGAGTTTATAATCTGTCTAAGATGATATTCGTTGCCGATAAACATGAATAATATCGTGGATATACTCTGTGGCTATGGCACTTTTTTTTTAAATGAATGATAATGGAATAGTAACCCGGCTGCGCTAACGGTACACGCTAGCGGGGCATCAGTGAGGGATGATAGATAGCAGTAAAAAGACAGGTCAGTTTATTTATTTATTTATTTATTTATTTGAAAATTTCTCACTACACTTACAGTTTCCCAAAACGTGTAGTGAGCCAAAGTTTTATTTCACAAACTTACAAATTTTGTACAACATTTTAAAAATATACTTCTTTTGTAATTAAATATGTCAATATCTGGCTGCTGAGCAATCAGAGAATTGAGCAGAGAAATAGCCTGATACGTGGGAGCAAACTGAGCAGTACAGGTACGAACCGGCGGTGCCGATAGTAGTCTACAAGCACGCAATCGCATGCAGCGTTGGGGTGCGTACAAAGAACAACGGCTAAGAGTTACAGGATTGTCTATTCCGCCGTTGAGCAACTGATAATAGTGCATCATCAAATTGCACTTTCGCCTTACCTCGAGCGTGTCTAGACCTACCATACCGGATACGAACAGTGATGGGTACAAATAAGGATAGTAGCCGTAAAGTTTACTATATAGAACACGTGCAAATTTCCTCTGAACTCTTTCTATCATTATCTTGTATTTTGTTTCATGAGGGTTCCAAATAATTGAATTGAATTCTAAAATGCTTCGTACAAATGAATAATATAATAATAATATTGCACCTTTATCTTGAAGTTGTGCCGACTGTCTTATCACAAAACCTAACGATTTATATGCACGACTACAAACGATGGTTATATGATTATTAAAAGTTAAAGCAGTGTCCAGCGTAAGGCCTAAATCGCGTATTTGTGACACACGTTCAAGCGGCGTACCAGATATATTGTAGACATAAGAATGGGGAACACGAGACCGCGTGAATGTGACCGATTTACACTTTGAAATATTAAATTCCAAGTTATTATGTCCAGCCCATGCCACAACGTTGTCAATATCTCGCTGTAGAGTTACACAGTCTTCCATGGTTCCGATAGCCATGAATAGCTTCACATCGTCAGCAAACATGAGACACTGAGCAGTGTTAACAACATCTGGCAAGTCATTGATCATAATTAGGAACTGCAATGGACCCAGGGTACTACCCTGGCTTACTCCGGAGTCATTTACACGGTAACATAGGATTCAGATCGATAACCATGTAATTGGACGTATTGCGAGCGATCGGAAAAATAACTAATAAATAATTTTAAAAGTTTAGGTGTAAATCCTATCTCTGAGAACTTTTTTAATAAAATATCATTGTGAACGCGATCAAATGCTTTTTTGAAGTCAAAATATGTCACGTCTACTTGTCTATTATGATCCATTTCAGTAACTGTATAATCAACAAAGTTTATCAGATTAGTAGTAGTCGACCTACCAGGTCTGAATCCATGCTGACAGTCTGTCAATTGAGGCTGGACTTGCACCGAAATAAGTCTGTTTAAAATGGATTCAAATAATTTTCCTAAAGCTGGAAGTACAGCAATTGGCCTATGATTTGAAATTTGGGATTTAGAACCATCCTTGGGTATAGGTATAACCCTGGACACTTTCCATAGCTGCGGATAGGTACTTGTTGTGATAGCCAAGTTCATTATATGTAGGAGCGCTTCCTCTAAAACTCTTATGCAATCTTTAATAATAAATGACGGTATACCGTCAGGCCCAATGCATGTCCCCACCCTCAATCGTTTTACTGCTCGCTGCAGGTCGGTTAGCGTTATATTCTCTATAGCGACGCGAGCAGAGAGTTGGGAACACCTTGCCTTGCTTTCAGCCAGATTGCCAGATAAGACAGGTTTATCGTCTAAAAAACTCGATTTAAAATGTTTTGCAAATGCATTTGCAGCATCTATCCCAGTCACCACTTCCCCATCATGATCGTATAGGTCTTGGCCCCTTCTATTAGAACGTTGATTTCGTATAAACTCCCAGAAACTTTTCGGATCATTCTTTATATTAACCTCAGTTCGCGTGATGAAATTTTGATAAGCTATCCTAATTAATTCTTTTGTACGCTGACGATAAAATTTAAACATTTCTCTATTGAATTCTTTACTATATTTTTTATACTTTTTTAAGTGATAATACTTATTTTTTATATTTTCTATAATTTCTTTCGTATACCATCTCGGATATTGATATTTATAATTACTGCAAAAATTTTTAATAGGGACATTAGATTCTAAACAACACGAGTGAAATATATCATAAAAATAATTCAATGCTACATCAACATCGTCACAAGTGAATATCTGATTCCACCTTGCCGAAGCTATCGATTCATATAGTGAATGTAAGTTCGATTTTTTAAAATTCCACTCAGTGACTGATTCATGCGACCGAAAGGTACAAGCGCGCGGACCCGCGTGCCGCGAACGCGGCATCGCGAGGTAGATGCCGAGTGGTGGATGATGTGCATCTGCCGGCACTAGCGGTTTCACATCCTCATACATTTGTACATATTCACTGCTCAGATTGCTTAACACTAAATCTAGAATGTTACCATATTTATTTTTTGTTACATTATATTGATTCAATTTACAAAAAGCAAGCAAATAACTATATTGTAGAATAACATTTTGGCTACAGGAATTTAAGTTAAAGTCGCCCAGTATGACGACATCCAAATTTGAATATTTTGCGATTACATTCTCTAAAACTAAAAACGTATTTAAGTATTTTTCATCATTCGAGTTAGGCGGTATATAAACAACACTGAATACAATTGTTTTAGATTTCAATGTGACAAGTGCCATCACTATTTCAATCTGCTCCGTGTACCCACTAATGTTTAATATTTGTTGGACTTTGTAATGCGAACGTACTGCTAATAGCACTCCACCCCAACCGGCATTATTTGGACGGTCTCGGCGTACTATGGTATAACCGTCGGGGAACACTTCCGCATCAAATATACTACTAATTAAAAATGTTTCCGTTAACGCATATATGTCAGCTGATTCACTGAGTATTGATAACTTACAAGTATGTAATTTAGAACGTAGTCCTCTAACATTTTGATAAACAATTTTGTGGTGTTTATACTTGGGCGGTATCATCGATTTTCTTGCGAAATCCACTACGCCAAGGTCTGATGTAGACATCCTCTATCCAATTTTCAGATGCTAGGTACTTATCTAGATGTTTTGTAGGCACAGATAACTTAAATGACGCATAATCTCCTCGCGACTTCAGCGCTTCGGCAGAACAGTTATCTCCCGGGCAAATGGTTCGGAGATATTCATTAACCTGTTCAACTGTAGTGCCGATTTTCACATAATATAAATGTAAATATGACTTCCGCTGTGCAGCCGACAAAGTAATATTATTGTCAGTAGGGATGGCCGTACCACGAGTAACGTTGACGAGCGAGCGTCGAGTACGCGGTCGTTTTATCTCGATCCATTCTCGCGCGCTGTCCGTTGCCTCAGCCCCAGTGTCACTCGTCAACGTAACTATAGCTTCGTGGTTATTATCGGGCGTCGATGGGGCACACGGAGTAGGAGGTCCACCTGTTGACGTCGTTGCCCGATCCGTATTGTTTCGCATTGTTGCCTTTTTTGTAGCACCTGCAATTGCTGATGACGCACGAATACGAGCTTCACGGATTGGTCGTAGCCCAGTCTCCGATGTCGAGCTACCCTCACCATCACTAATAATAGATTTCGACGAAACTTTTTCATCACCGATTAGATTTTTAATTAGCTTGTATTGGTCAATAATAACTTTCTCGAGTGATAAAACTTTACTCTGTAGTGAAAGCACTGTTTTAGTTAACTCGCGAATAGCAACTTCGGTACTTTTAGTAGACATTTCTATTTTTTTAGAAACAAATACGTAGAGCCGCACTAACTTGCACGAATCGACGATGCTAACTTAGCCTATCGTGATGAATTCACTTGGAATAAAACACGACAATTTCCAGGGGGAACCGCGAGAAGGTCGACCTGACAAGGTGTTGTCTATGACACCTATAATATCACTATATACTGATACGACGTCGCTGCCGCTCCACATACTAGTATCGATATAGTTAGAGTCAGTGCTCGACGTCAGCGTCTCACCACGACATCGTATTTGCTGCACACGAGCACACGAGCACACGAGCACACGAGCGGCACACCAACGCTCGCGGCCAGCATTTATAGTTTAGTCATAGAATAAATGTGGCCCAGTGTCGCAACTGTACATTAATTACCATGTGGGCTGTGTTGCGACTCATTAATGTAACCATACAATGTCCACCTACATACATATAATTGATTTGTTTTACGCCAGCTTTAATAAATTTCATGATTTAGAATAAAATCAACATGCTACTGATAATATATCAGTGACTGATGGTATACCTACATAAGGCAGGCATTTTGTAAATTTAGAATTCAAAAACGACAAAACGTTTTGAAACTCCTATACTAATTTAATATCTGGACGTACTGTATGACCACAACCCGGAAACTATACAAAAACGCCTCGATCTCGTCGCAACTACGGAAACAAATAACTTCTGCACATGAGACAATGTGTGCGTGTGTAGTTACGGTTAGTGCGGGAAAACAGAGTTCGGTGCTGAAGTGTATTTGAGAGGGGGTGAGGTCAGCGGGCGGCTGGGAGTGTCCATACTGTACTTTAGTACTATTGCTTATAACTTGGTATTACTATGGAATATATAAAATTTTATTACTGCATTCCAACAAATGTTTTTTTTTTTATGGAAATGTTCAATTTCACTTTTTAATAACATAGGAGGCAAACGAGCGTGCTGCTCATCTGATGGTAAGTGATTACCGTCGCCTAAAGGCACCCGCAACATTACAGAAATTGCAGGCG